TGATTAAGCTGTGACTCCAGTCCTTCTTTGGTTGTTTCCATGGTCCTTTCATGCTATTCCCCAAAGCCTTTTCCCTCAGGCGCTTTCCGCTGACTTTGAGTTTGCCGCTGCAGTCGTGCGACTGGAACAATTTTGTTATATAACACAACTTCAAATGATCGGACTCTTCACCTTGCCGTTACGCCATTCCTTTTCTCCTGGGAATTGAGTTAACTGAAAACCATTGTCAGAGCGTGTCACTGTCTCTAGGGATCTTACCTACTTCACCCCTTGCTGTGCAGTCCAAGCAATAGGGTGCGGCACTCTCATCCTACCACACGCAATGAAGCTGTGGATGAGAGTGGGAAGCAGGGACTGATGATCCCTGTGTACCTGCATGTTTAAATCCCAATCTCTGACTCTGTGACGCAAAAACAGTTTTGACCTGTTGTTCTTGGCCATTTCTCAGGTCTGTTTCTAGGTACGAGGTCGGCTTGCACTAATCGTGTAACTAACACTAAAGGGCTAACGGCGGCTAACGCACACCGAGATCCGCTCAATATGTGAAAACTAAACTTGACTATCATTACATCCGGCTTTCTCACTCATTAGCACAAGCTGCAAAAAGCAAGATGGCAACGACCCCGGCCTGAGTGACAATTACAGTGTACCAAACGAAGACAGGATAGGCGTATGTTGTCCAGCTTCCTTTTGCAACGGGCCAACCACTGGCAAACCCAAGACAAAAAGACTCTGAAGCAAATAGAATGTGATGGGAGACAACCCACGAACAGCTCACATGGCCAAACAGACTTCTATGACGGGTTGCCCTGAGCTACGTTTGCGAAGCTCAGCATGCTCAAGCTGCTAGCACTGCCACCACCACCGAAAGCACAAAGTGGGCACAGGATCAACAGTGCTGGCAGGCCCGTAGACCTAATAGCAGCTCTTGCAAAGAAGACTTGCTTCTCAAGTAGTTTGGCCAACACCCAGTATGATTGTTCAAAGACGCTGGGGCTGCTACAAGAAGCACATGACAGCAGCATCACAGAACTGGACAAGCATCCCGTGGTCAAGGTTGGAGTGGTTAGCAATCTCGCCCACAGTAAGCCTACATGCACATCAACGTGGTCCCTCGTCCCAACACGTCCCGACACATCTCACTCTCCCACCTCCAACAGGGACTCACCCACCCACAGTAGCCATTGATCTCAGGCGGAGTTTCCCCATGGCTGCCTGGCTCATTAGCCTTGCCACGAAAAGGCAGATCTTGTCAAAAAGAAGCATTGACAGGGAAAGCTATGGTCAAGCCTAAACACTGAAAGCTATGGTACAATAAATCCTTGAGTAGACTAGTCTGTGCATTTGGGAGTGTAAACAAAGGTGGCGGGCCTTCTTCAAGTAGACCGCAGGGTACTGGTCTTTCAAACAGCCGAAAAGACAAAGCGCAGTGAGGATCACTATCGCGCTAAAGGCAGATGCAGCACCCAGCACAGGAAGCGAATCCCTCGGCTACACTTGTTTACTTCAGGATTGATCTTCACATTCATGTTCATTGAGCTTTATCTGCGCAAGGCGATCTATGCCATGATGCAGGCCAACTGCGTATAGGAATCCAGCAAATACATGTCTTTTGTTGTTTTACCAAGTTGCACAGAGCTGATCGTAACAGTACTGGTGGTGCTACTTGCATTCACATCTCCTGCATAACACATTACATGACGGTGCGAATTGAAAGCATGCTGCTTCAAACGCTCTTTGCCGTCGCACTGACAACTTTAATGCAAAATGCAGAAAACACGTCTTGCAGCATTCAGCTCCTGTCACCGTCTTATTGCTGGCCATTCTCAGCAGTTTGGGCTTGACCTGCAGGGGCTGTGACAACTTGAACCCCACTGCCGCCATGGCAATATGGTGCAGTGTCAGCAAAGAAATGGCGATGAGAGTAAAGGTATTCGTATGTATTCTTTTGCCTTCTTTCCGTGGAGGGCAACACTGCACCAGGAGTCCTCTTATGCGCTTTGACTTGATATATATATATATATATGTATATGAGGGTCTGGGTGGGCCTCTTTAACTGTCAGGCTCATCACATACCCCCAGACTACATCTGGAACTATTTATAAAATAGGTGCGCTGCCTGCCAGTAAAGAGACCTCCTAGACCCTTAGCTTTGTTCCCCTCTTCCTTGATCAATCACAGGACAATGCAACTTGAAAGAAATAACTGCTCAGACGGATTTGTAAGTAGTTCCAAGACCCCATGTCTATCTGCACAGTAACCATTGATTGAAAAGGCCCACCCAGGCCCAGGCTCTAATATATATATATATATGTGATTATATGAGCATCTCCGCGGTCCAAGCTGGTTCTCTACCCCAAAACAAAAGTATCCCGGCTCGTAGCCTCCTCAATGGCCAGCAGCGTCCTGAGAAAAGAGCCAGGAACCTGAAGGAGCCGATGAATCTATCAGGTTTGAATGGCTTTGAATGTTGAGATGTTCAATGGAGTGAAAAGGAAAGTATGGCTGAGAGATCAATGTCTTCCCCAACATATACAGCCATTGAATACTGCAATATGTAATGATATGTATAGGCTGTATAGGTTTAAGTTCATATGAGTCTGCAAATGTCTGCAATGTCATGTTCACCACCTGTCGCACAGCTTGCACGTAGGGAGGCACAGTTGTTTATGAATCGATCAACTCTCACAGCCTATGACGGGCCCGGTTTCAACTGTCTTCCCCTTTGGAGGCTCAGGTTGGTTCCAATGTGCTTTACTCCATCACCAAACACCACTAAAACTGGTCGAAGACTACCGCTTGCCTCGCGGTCGAAAGCAGACGCTGGCAGTGAGGCATCCTCGAACCTTGGCCGGTACAGCCCTGCTTCTCAGTCCTACCAGGTCTCTGGTCTCTTTTTGTCGCAAAGGGTCTACAGCCGAGATGCACATCTCTACCCGCGCTTCGAGGATGTCGCACCTCGGAAGCGCGGAAGAGTGCCCAGAGAAGGTGCGACAGAAGGCGAATGAAATGAGTTTTGGGGGTCCAAACGGATTGTCGCGACTCCAAAACAGACGCGGTCTGGATCAGCTCCACCTCGCAGCCAGCGATGGGTCTTGACTTAGGCTTCATGCATAGACGTGTAAGGCTAGTTGCCTGCAAATCACATTCATCGGAGTGTAAGGCCTCGGTCGGAACAAGAGAAAAGACATGAAACGACTATTGCACCTATTTGATAAGAGATCATCATGGCGTGTCTGATTTGGGGTTGCTAGGCTGCTAGTCAAGGCAGCATTGTGGTTCAATATCAATTCAGCACAGTGGATTGAAGACACAATCACTGTCTTTGCAATGAACACCTCAGAACTCTTGAGCCAAATCTTCACCTGAGGCAACCACACAAGGCTCAGTGCAACAAACTTGAGCCACCAGTCCACATAGCACTTGGATCCGCATGAAAACATGCGAGATGTGTTCGGTTCGGTCAGATCGTGAGCCCAACAGCTGAGCCCAAGCGGGCCACTGCGCAGCTGTGCTCACGACACCCTTGAGCCGAGAGGCCGCAAGTGGTCAAAGATCGATTGAAGGCATTGAAGGTTAAAGGGTTGGCACAAGTTCAAAGAACTTTATGCAGTATCTATATAATCAATATACATATTACTAAATGTTAATTGATTAATAACTATTTATATAGTTACTTATAAATACTTATATATATACATACACTGTTGATTTGCAGAAGTTGTGTGGAATCTGTTCGAAATCGAGACAAAGCATGCTTGTGATCACAAGCTCTTTTACAGCGCTCCACCCGCCCTCTCTTCCAGCAGGTTCGCCATGCGAGCAGCTATGGTGATCTTCAGCGTAATCCAAAAGAGCACACCAAGAACGGCACCGTATAGGAAGTTTCGTGCTACCTTGGAAACAATCACCAAAGAACATGCTTCGTGCTACCTTGGTATAAGCAGTATGCATTCATCTTGTGATGTACCCAGAGTTCTTCGCGGTTGGACAGAATGAGTGTAAGCTTCACCAAACCAAAACGTCACCAATGTCTCAGCTGAGCACCATCTCGTTAAAACGCCATTCGAGTTCCTCGGTCGTGGCCTGATTGTTAGTGTAGAAGGCCATCTCCTCAAAGAAATAAGAAACATGTTTGGAAGAAAGAACATACAAAGGCTACATGTTCTGCATCAAGGCCACATGTTCAAATCCCCATTCCGCTCCTCAAGTGAGGTCTCCTTCAACACACGCCAGTACCAGCTGACGGGACCGACCTGCCAAGTCTCGCTTTTTTGGTTCGAGCAAGACTAGGTTCCTTTGAAAGAAGACAAACAAACGCACTATTGCGATGTAAACGAAAACTGCAAGGCACAAAAAGGAAACCTCGCTTCTGCTCGCTCGCACCTCCCGACGCCTGGCAGTCAGCAGCTCGTAACGCGCCACAGCATCCAGGACGCCGAAGCCGGCGGCGATGGCCTCCTCGTGGCGGAGCACCTTGCCCTCGGCGTCCAGCGTGAGCTCTGCCCTCGTGGAGTCGGAGCCCGTCGGGGCCCGTCGGGGCCCGTCGGGGCGTCTCGACGGTTCATCGAGAAGTCTCTGAGAAGCCGAAGCATCTGGTTGGAGTTGAGTTCCGGAATCCAATTTTGAGATTGAAACTCCAATTATCCTTGTACAGGCTTGCTAGGTCTTCTTCAATCCCCACGAGTCCTATAAGCAAACCAAGCTCAATCACTCTTTCCAATTTTGGCTCGGTCTGCCTCAGTGTTGTTTCCACTCGCACTGCTGCACCGGGGACTTTCGGCACGTCCTCCGGGATCAATGAAGCTGAAACAAATCTACGGTTTCCTACAAGTCCAAACAGTGAGGAAGAGCTCCTCCGGAAGCTCCAGAAGTTTTGGGCTAGGAGGCAACGGGGCCACAAAAGCCACACGCCAGCGAGCTGTGATGAGGCCAGGCTCTAGCTGCCATGCCTCCATCTCCTTGACCTTCACTTGAGACGCCAAAGGTTATAACATGTATTTAAATGTTACACAATGGTATACATGTGAAATTGGTCAAAAATTGATCACTCCACCAGCGCCAATCCTTGAAGTCTTCCAAGCGCTCAGGTAGCAGCTCTTGCCATTGCTGCATGGCTTCAAGGTACTCCTTCGAGCCGTGCAGCGTGGCCAGCGGCCCCTGCGGCGAAAAGGTCCTAGTAGCTTCTTGTTCCTAGTAGTAAGGCCAGGAGCCCCTAGTAGCGTCCTTGCTCCTAGTAGCGATGCCCTTTGCTCCTAGTAGCGTTCTTGCTCAAGCTCGCAAAGTACTCTGACCATCTGCCTCATAGCTGACATTGTCAGCAATTAGGCTTCTGTCTATCATGAAGGGCAAGTTTTGCGCCAACTGCACCTGACAGGTCGAGTCGAGCGTGAGCTGGGGAGCTCCACAGCTCGGAGCGTGGCCTCCACGCTTTGCGACTCTGGCTGTGCCCGGAAGGTCACACCGAACCTGGTACTTTCGGACGAAATTGTGGAAGTCAAGCCAAAGTGCTGCTGTAAAACAACCAACAGTTGCAAAGCAAGGAGTGTTACAAAAACATTTTATACTATGTATACTGTAAGTAATAGAAAGCAAAGTCGAAATTTCAAATTCCTGGAGCAAATGGCAGGTTGCATTCAATAGCCGGTCTGCTTCAGGCCGCCTCTCTATTCTGGATTGCCATGGAGCCAGAAATGTAAGCCCTGCGGCTGCTGCATATGTGACATTGTGACATGAACAGCACGATCTGCTGAGGAATAACACAGCCTTTGACAGTATTGATATACAACAACCAACTGAGCACATATGCGTCGCACACTATATCAGTAGAGAACCAATATGTATATAGAACATTATAGAACAAACACAGTTTACAGACTTCTTTTCACGACTGCAGTCCTCTGCATGCCAGGAACGCCCCCAGCGCAGCTGAACAAATCGGACGGCGATGAGCCATCAATCTTTATTGCAAGGCAATTTGCAAAGGATGGTAAAGGTGAAGTGAACCGAACGAAACATGGTAAGTTTGTTCACAAAAATATTCGAGGCCCATGGAAACTTATATCAGTTGACAAGATGATCGAACATGATATATTAGCATATTAATGTTCGTATGTTCGCTATGTTCGTTTTATGTGTCTCCTTGTCAATATCTGTGAACATGCAGTAAAGAAATCTTGACGTTCCAGGTGGAGCTCAGTGGCTTGATGAAAGGTGACAAAAAAGCACGAAAGCAAATTGGCGGAGGACACGAGATATAGATTTGATAAACGCCTATAAAACCACTGCATATCAAACACAATCAATAAAGGTCTGCAAGGTGCCTTGAGTGCCTGCAGAAGAAGCACGGCGTGATGCCTCTATCGAGTTTATGAGATCCAGAAGTGGTCACTGCAACCGAGGCTTAAAGATATAAAAACAATGTGCAAGGAAAAGTTATCCTTTTCACAAAGGCTTCACATTGGACTTCAAACAAGAGACTGAACATAGCTAAAAAAAACAAACACTGGAAATTCTAGGTATAGCCCGTCTCCACACCACTACCCTTTAAGACTGCGATGATTCCTTTACCAAATTTGATTATGAGTCTACTTCTTATGACTTATACATACTTATTCTGCTTCTTGTAATGTTCTTCTGTCCTTTTGTATTCTTTCTCTAGGCGCTTTGCACAAGTGCTGTGCCGGCATGCTGCCACTGTGCCTTGCCTCTGGTGACAGAGATCGAGGGCCATTTTTTCCTCGTGCTAATCTCCTCATCCCGCAGCGAAGCAAAACCCTAAGGCGGTGGATCTCTTACGGTCTGAGTCTGTTCTCCTCGGTTCCTCAATACGTAGTGAGGGAGAACCTAGGGAGACACGATGAAAGCAACACATCAGCACTCCTACGAAAACCTATATGCATAAGGTCATAATACAGCGATGGCCTCCAACCCAATAGCGACGGCCTTCAACCTATATTGATCATTAAGGTCATATTCTATACATCCGTGCCGTGCATCTTCACACTTCGGTGACAACTGAAATCAGCGACGTTTCGCCTCGTGCCGCTGTCGGCACAGTGGTCACACCCTCCTCGGTGAACGGTCATTCAGTCTTCAGTGATTTAGTTCATTAGGCACGACTTTTGCTGAAAGACTTTACAGAAAAACGAGCGTAATGCAACAGCGTAGAGCAAAACGAGCGCACTGGGCCACTGGGGTCCACACTGGCGGCATGGCTTTGGATTTGGGAGCCCTGAACGCAGGAAGCGTCACGTGAGAACGGACGCTGCGTCCGAACACAAACGCATGCAAGAACACGGCCTGGGCACCGCTGAAGCACGCCACACGCGCCTCTCCAAACACTGTGAAAAGAGGCGAAACATTGGAGCTACAAATGCCACCCTGTCCTCACCAGCTCTCCCTGTTCCGTCGTGTCAGCCTAGGCTACAATGAGTGATGGATCCAAAGCAAAAACAGTAATGGAGATTTAAACAGTTACCTGGAGATCACAGGCGAGGAAGAGATCAACAAATTGTTGTTTGGCTTGCCTCAGGCATAGCAATTGAAGAACTAGCCTAGAGGCGACCTCTCACCTAATCTGCTCGTGCTTGCCAGAGTTACGATCTCTGAATTGTTTGGCTGCTATGTGGCAGCGCCGCTATTTGCCTCTGAGTTGCTGGTACATGTTTGTTGGTACTCGCGTAAGTTTGGACCTTTGAGCTGTTCATTTGCTGCGATGTCAAGCAGGACATCGCAACAAAAATCAACAAAGTAATACATGGTGACATAGTTTGTTGGTTTGGCTGGTTTCTTGTGATTAGAAGGCAGGATGGGGGTTGTGGGAGGGAGCACAACAAACAACACCTTGCCTGGTAGCTTTCCTTCTTTTCCTTGTCTCGGTCCTTCAATCCTTCCAACCTTTCTTCTCTTGCAACATGCTATGTGTTGATACAACATAAGTGTTCACTGAAAGGGGTGTTCATCGCTACTGTAAGTTTGTCTTTAACGTTCTTTAATCCATCTAACTACTGTAAACCAGTTGGGTCGGTCTGGCAATCGGTCTGCCTTGTTGTATTGCAATGGGTCTGCCGTTTGCCTTTAAGGCACATAGCACAAGGCAAAAGTAAAGACAAGGTACCTTCAAGAAGGGACCAGCAGACTTGGTCCTTGCAGCCAAGGATGATTGAATGCTCATACGTTCGCATGGTGCTGGGCAGGTGCAAATATTGTTTTCAACTCATTTACCGCCTTCTTGTACTACTCTTCCCGCTTGGTACTTCAGTGTGGGCCTCAGCTTTACGATCGGAGCACCGAAGGCACCGAAACCCGGCCTGCCTGCACTGGCATCTTACCTGACTCAGACGCTCACAGCTGACTGGGCGTTTTCCGCTTGTGGCCCTATGAATAGACATGCGCTAACAACAACTGCTTGTCCGCTGCAAAACACTCGCAAAGGTGTTGAGCATGGTTTTCTGCACAGAACGAGCAGAATTACACAAACGCGGCTCAAGGCAACAACAAGATTTGCCACATGGCTAGCTGAAGAAGTTTGGATCCGAACGCATATGACAGCTTTGTGCAGCACATTGGTTCATCAGAACTCCCCTACTTTGATCAAACATGTCTTTGAAGGACTTCCTGTCAAAACAACCTTAAGAAGCCGTCTTTTGCCATACCTCCACACTCTGCACAGCAAGAAGTGCCTTTCTTCTCAAGCTTCTCCTTCTCCTGGTCATCTCCATCTGTCTCATTCTGCTTTGCGTGCCTTGCATTCTTTCCACCTTTCGGTTTCTCAAACACCACAGTGCTTTGCACTTCTTCGGCCTCCGGAGCGACTTCTGCCTCCGCTTCAACGGCCTCATCTGCTTCAACGGCCCCTTCCGGCTCCACCGGCTCCACCGGCTCGGCCAGCTCAGCCGGTTCGGCAGGCTCGGCAGGCTCGGCCGGTGGATGGGATTCGATTGGGGCTGGCTGGGCTGGCAAGGGCGGTGGTGGAGGTGGCGGAGTGGTTAAGACAATGGGCTGAGCATTCAGTACCACATCTACCCGTATTTGATCGGGCACTTGGCACTTGTCACTTGGTGCATCTGCAGCCTCTGAAATAGTGCCACCACTTGTAGCCGTCTCAGTCTCGGTCTGTGGACTTGTTTTTGCATTGCTTCGCTCCTGGTAAGTGAAACTTGCAAATCAAGAAATGGCAAACACATTCGGATAGCTTGCAGGCTGTCTTTCCAATGTCAATAGCATGGTTTCTGTATGAGCTCTGCTTGCTGACTAGTCTACTCGCCATAGTGTGGCTTAGCGTGGTCACGGGACGTCACGGGGTCCTCGGTGTGGGCATGCCGCCGGAAGAAACTTCTCAACTTGGGCGGTGTCTTTCCTGGATCCTGGAGGACCGAGTTGCAAGATTGGGAGATCAGACTATTCGTTGATAGTAAAGAATATATATATATACCATATGATCAATTATCGGATTATCGCCCAAAGCGGGAACTTCTGTCGATCAAATCCTGGCCGATCTGTAAAATCAGTGTTTCCCAGTTCACAGCTCTTCTCCTGAAGTTTGGCTGGCTCTTTTTGCTCGAGCTCATCTTCGAGATGCTGATCAGGCTGGCAATCCTGTGAATCTGTCGGCTCCAAGCTGCATCCTGTCTCCCTCGAATGCTCCTCGCCATTCATTCTAGTTCAACGAGAAAGGTGAAATACATTGGCTAAGCAACATCACAAGAAAACTTTCTTTGGGCCTCATTGCTCTTGGAGAGCCCAGCGTCCGATACCCTCAGCAAGCTTCGACTATCCATCCGATGAGACAAACAGCGCTTTCTCCCATTCAAAATGTTTCTGATCCACACTGCACAAAGAAGCAACATGTTTAAAAAAGGCCTCCAAAAAAGGCTCATGCAACCAGGATGCATGGTGGCCTCAGTGGATGGCTGGACCTCAACTGTGACCTCGCCCACCTTGGCTTCCTCAGCTTCCTCAGCCTCCTCAGCCTTGGTGGTCTTGGCCTCTTCAGCTTCCTCGGGCTCCTCGGCTTCGCCTTCGGAGGAGTTCTGTGGAGGCGACTCGAACTGCAGCTCTCCCTCAGCACGGAAGGCGGGCAGAAAGGACCCAGGACCTTCCCGACCTTTCCCGAGCTTTCAGCCAAGGGGCCGAATCTGTATTTGATCCTTGGACCATATGATCAGCTTCCTGCATTAAAAAAAAAAGTGCTTATGATGAATCCAGCTCCACTGTTCTATCTTCTTTCTGGGTTGTAAAAACACTTTTGTGCAAGAACGCAGCCAAATGGGTAGCATTTGTCGGCCAAATGGACACGTGTATAGCAACTATGAATGAAACATATGAGTCCGTCGGCCTCCAGAGTTGGTTCCTGGGCTTCCATCCCGGCCATAGGCCTCAAATGCGAGAAAGACAGGCTGCACAAAGAACACAATTATAGGACAAAGAACATATCGTAACAAAAAAGGTAACCGAAGCAAAACTCACTTTGCTTCAGTGACCATAGCAAAAACAACTACGTACTAGATCTAAACTAAACATCGAACACTTCCAGATTCTGTCTGAGGCCATCCACGACTTTGGTGCTGAACAAGGTGCACAACTGAAATACTACAACTTCGAAAGTGCGTGATGTGTGATTCGGACAATGATGTGTATGCTGTATGTCTTTGTAAACAGTGTTTTTTTTTCTGGGTGACTAGCTGCAGCTACTAGACCTCCGTATGGTGCAAATCTCCGTTGGCTTCAATGTTGCCTGACATGCTTTCCTTGATCTCAAAAGAAGCTGAAGTCGATATCCACATGCGAGGCCCACATGCCAATGCTGTAGACTGCATGTTGGCAACCCAGGATGCTGCACATAGCATCACGGAAAGTACATGGACATGGAAATTGCTGCATATATGCATCACAACCTGTTCAACTTCCGCAGCAGCCTCTCACTTTCCAGCCATTCTACTACTGTCATTATTGCGAATCCATGAAATGGACCCCGACAGGGTTCCGTGTCATCGCGACGATAGGATATATCTCCCGGGTATCCGTGCAAAGATGGATCTTGGCACTTCGCATGGGAAAGCTAACTATGTTATCACTGCGGAGGATCTTGCTACTATGCATGTGCCACAGGCCGGAGAGCCTACGGCTGATGACCAGCTGGCAACTTGGAGGCATAATGGTCCCTCACTTTCCAAGAATGCTTTGCAGTTTGTCTGAGCCTCGTAAGGATAAGTTTCTCATTGTCCTCTCTCCGATCTTGGCAGCACTTCAGTTTCTTTGGGATAGATTTTATGATTTTTGCATTGCCCACAATCTCCCTTCGGATTATCTGCCGTGATGCGGCTAGATATGGATGGCCGACTCCCTTCCAATATAGCTCTGATTCTAACTACCCCTAACTACCCTGCCATCTCTGCTTGTGGCTTCAATCTCTGTACTTGTGTCATCTCTCTCTCTCTCCTTTTTGTTGCTTGCCCTTTGTGTGGGCTCCTCTTTGGCTCTTCATTTCGCATATGCATTGCAAACAAAATACTACAACAAATATTGATTGAACAATATTTATGTAGCCTACATATATATATATATATAAGTTCAATTCATACAATTTTATCCATATCATATATCAACTCACCTTACACCATTACAATTCACACCAGCTCAACTCACACAACTCAACTCATCCAACTTACCTCGAAAAACTCAACTCATCACACCAACGCACCTGACAAAACACTCAGAGTTTAGACAGTTTCACTTCTCCACGCTCCTGCGTACTTTGGCTGGGAATCGTTTCACTGGGAATCGTTTCACCTGTAGTAACAATAAAGCTGTTTAGTATGTCTTTGAAGCTTCTTGGTAACTAATTAGAAGCTTATTTATGAGAAGAGTTGGAAGGACTAGACTTTGTCCTGTGATGTTCTGCACATGAGGTCACCCCCCCACCTCCGCAGAAAAGGGTGCCTTCCATGTCGCGCTGGATATCACAGAGATAGTAGGCATGGATCATTGCAGCATGTGTTCTTGGTATCACATGATGGCGTATGACGGACCACAGTACAGGTGTTTTTTGACAAACAATATTACCACATATTACCACGAAACTTCATACACTGTTGACTTGACAACCATCATCCTCAAGTGGCTGCTTCCAGAGACATCTTGTGACCCAGAGCCTCAGCCTCACTTCAAGAGTTGCAGCTCTTGGACACACACACAGTGCTGAATCTAATTGAGTGTGCGAAAGCCCATGGACATCAAAGTAGGAAAATATTGCATTATTGCATATATGGTTTTTGAACATGTGGGAAACAAGTGGATTATTTGGAGGGTATCGGAGTGACGAGGACAAACTATAGGACATTATGACGCTGCGAAAAGGAAAAACGTTCTGTCAAACAACATATAGGAAATAGTGCACTCATTTGTATAATTGGGCAAGAACATCCGCGTACTTTTGCTCCTTGGAGGGTGTTACCGCAATATTATGAGTATTTCTTTTTGAACAATACTTTAATAGACTACAACCTATTCTATTATGCACATATATATATTGTTATTTCATTTAGACTATTTTTTTAATAATTAGATTATGGTACCATTAACTCTTGATTAAGCACTAGTTTACTTCTGTTACTGTTGATCTATAAACATACACATAATTATTGCAAATGTATATATATAAGGTATATATGACATATGCTATTAAGTACTAGCAATATCTTACTGTTTACATACATATTCCATTATTGATATGTTAAAACATGACAACATTGTTTACAATAATTTCAGCAATATGTATATGTATATATATATATATATTTGTTATATTATTTTGTTCAGGGGCATCAAAAAGCTGTTTGTTTTGATTGAATCAATAGTCATTGCTGCGTTTGCCCCACTCTCGGACAACACCAATCATCTAGTAATGAAATTCAAATTTGTACGAGTGTCGCTTTGCACTCCACCCACTTTCTGAGGCGCCATGCCAGGCCGCGGGATGCTCCGAAGCACATGACGTGTCCACCATCACGCACCCACCAAACGTCACAGCATTTCAGGCCTGTACTTGGCACATCTGTGCTTGAAGTATCTCGAAATATCTTGAAGGGAAATCTGAACAAGGGTCTTCATTGAAAGCAACGTGGTCACCGGATTTATATTAGATCTGTTCAGCTCTGTGCCTTTTTGATCCAAAGTTGTCAGGTCCACCACTGGGTCCTGACCAGAAGAAACTGCATGAATGGGGCTTCCTTGGGTTTTGGACATTTAAACAGCAAAACCAAACTCTTCAGGGTTGAAATGAGCAAAGCCATCTCCTCAGGATTCTGGATGCGCAAAACTTCTCCAGCTGGAAGTGTCTTTCGAAGTCGCAAGGCGAATGCATCTTCAAAGTGTTCCTTACAACAAGTATGTATGTACTACGAGTAGTATAAATATAGGGCATTCTGATGCATTATACAGTATGTCAGTATGTCTGTGAATAGAAAACATAACATTCTGACGTCACTGTGTGGCTGAGGTTGCGCTGACACCAAGGCTCAAATGGCACCGCCAAGTCTTCGACATCGACGGGATTCCCAGCTGCATGATGTTGCAAGGCCTGATGCTGTCTTCGAAGACTTCGGACGGTGGCATGGGAGACTCATACGAAGGCGTCATGGGAGGCGCACCTGATGCTGTGCCCAGGCAGCTTCAGTGAAGCTCCGAATGTATGACCAAGTTGGTGGCCAGGGAAACCAAGGGCCTCGAGACAACGAAAGCACCGAGGGAAGCCCACAAACCGCAGCAGCTCGTGTCCATGAGCTCGTGTCCATGAGCTCCCCAACTAAACTCTTTTTCTGCAAAGCAAATAATTTGCTACTAGTAACAAAGGGCATCGCCACTAGGAGCCAGAAGCTACTAGTAGCTCCTGGCAGTACTACTAGAAACAGGAAGCTATTAGTAACAAGTGCACACAGGGTGCCCTCTTTGGCCTTGCCTTTCGGGCATCTGGAGAGCAGACCGCTCCGCAAATTCACAGCCTTGATTTGAGATGATTCGAACTTGTCCTGTGTGCGAAGTTCTTTGAAGCTTCAACTCTTAGCTTATGGACCCAAAAGTGCAATGCCAAAGGAATGTCGAGTCCTCAGCATTGACAAGTTGGGCTTCTTGCTTGAGAACTTGAGAACTACATAGACAAAACATGCGTTGCTCAAGTTTTGACATCAGGAGCCGTACAGTACCTCTCCTAAAGCACTGTCAAGAGGCGTGCACACAACCTCCATTTGGTCATAGCTTCAAATGTGGTTCGAAGACAGTCTGGAGAATGGACGGAGACAAAACCTTGCAGTGGAAGCAAACCGCAGTATATCAATCTGTTGAGGCAAGTCTTAATAGTCTTAAACATTACAAATTTGACACCTTCTTTGGAGCAAGTTGGACGACAATGCTTCATACAAGTGTTTAATTGTGAAGGCTTGCCAAGCAAATTACGTAGGCGGCAAGTGCCAGCATCATCCACGTTGCCGTTCACGTCCATCGGAGCTTGCTTGACCTTGCTGCATAGGGCAAAGAAAATCAATGAGTACATCCCTCTGTGAGGCTTTGCAAGTACAACCCTGCCCCAGCACATGCAAACCTGGAGGCATGTGAACAGTGCAAAAGGATCCTGATCACCCACGCTTGGACATTCCACCATTGTTGCTTGAAAGTGATGTTGGTTTTGATCAGAATCACACCAAGCTGCCTTTTGCAGATTGTTCCCTGTGAGAAGTTTGTCAGCCGCAGAAAGTGCCAACATCCCTCCCACTGAAAAGCCCACAGTGATGATCTCTCCTGAATCGGCAACTGCCTAAGAGCCCTTCTTGAACCAAATGACAATCAAAGCAACCACTTGCAGGTGGCTTTACAACCATGCAAGACAATTCAGGAATTGCCAGCTCAGGTTCTGTAGCAAGGCTTCGCCGAGTTTACGGCATCTAAACTTTGCAGGAAATCCACAAGAAATGTCCTGAGTCAAAATTCAACAGTCATACAAAATTCGTCCGATTCGCATATTGAAATTGCGCTCTCAATGCTCACTGCAATATCACAAATAAGCAGATTCTACCAAACATGAAGCACTTACAGTTCAACCTGGTCGCAATATCCGCAACATGTCCAAGCGTCGGATCTGAAAGGCCAGTGAAAGTACCATGCTGCCACTGAGCTCCGCCTGATCTGGCCGTGGGATGTGAGTCTATTCCTGAGAAGGAGCATTGCAATTCATTACGCCTGTGCCCGCATTGTGGAAGACACACCAATCCTCTGACTCCGCAATGATGTTGCCTGCACCCATAAAGCATGATGAAACAATCAAAGCCAGAGCAGTCGTCAAGTGTCACGCTGCACAATATCAATTCCAAAGCCCTTGAATGTGTACAGTATAGGGAAACAAACACCAGCCCTTAAGCATGAACCAGTGAAGGTCCTCTGTTGCCAGACTTGCAATTACCCAGTGATGGGCCTTGCTGTTGTCAATTTGGGGTGATAGCCATAGCAGTGCATATTTGCATGCCTTCGAGGGCATCCATTTTGGAACCACTTACAGCCCTTACCATGCGGGTTGTTCATGGTGTTTCATTGTTTTTCAACGCACGCATACCTTTGATGGATGCTTCCTCGATATCTTGCCCACACACACATCACCATCATCTGCTTAGCTTTCCCCTAAAGTATACAGGAGCCATGAGTGGCTTCTGCTTTCCAACTTGGCCCAAGCATGCCCAAGCACCCTTACTTGTTTTCACCACGAAACCGTCAATGGCAGTTTGCCAGTCTTACCAATTACTTGCTTTCCTTTCCAATCCTTGTGAATCAGAACAAATCCTCACAAACGCTTTCCCATTGAAAGCTTCGGTTTCGGTAACACTCACGACGGCGGTTTTGAACGATCCAAACTTGTGGTCTGTATTGAGAGTTATTGAGTGTGCATCATCAAGTAAAGGGCCCTCCGGTGCCGCCAGTCAGGTGGCAAGTGGCAGTGCAGGAACTCATCGATATATCCTGCAATGGAGTCGCCGTCACTCATCCCACCTTAGGCGCGGTGCTGCGTTCGCTCATGCAGGATAGCAAAGCACAACCCATCTGCCTGGTACCAGAATCCACAAGCGGGATGCAGTCAAGTCTTTTGACTGTTCTGGCCACCAAATAGCATACTCCTAGCACTAGTGCTGGATCCAGGATCTGTCTAAACAAAGAACGAGATTGACAAGTTGAGTGCCTTCAACTAGTGACACATCGACAGAATGCTTTTGAGCTTCTCTTGTGCACAGAAGCTTTGACCACCCTTCGTCCCTCATTACGATCAGTCCTCCTTCTTGTCGCGGTGTTCGCGAATTTCAACTCGGTACCTGCACTCTCTCTCTCTCTCTCTCTTTCGGTAACAAACAGGTATCTCTGTATATGGTGGTTCATCTAAATTCGTTTCATCTGGAAAGTGCCTCTTCGCGAAAAAAAAAAAGATTACTTTCGCGAACCCCATGTTTAACTTTCGCGAACTTTCGCGAAGTATGATCTTACATATTCAGAAGAAGTTCGGGTACATGGGTATATATATATAGTAGTTAACGGAAGACTCTGATTTCCTTCTGAGCTGGTGGTCTGAAAAGATCACAGTAAGCAAACAAATAAGGGTCCCTTTACCTACAAATAACATACATGGTTACCTGAACTTTCGCGAAAAAAAATATTACTTTCGCGAACCCTGTGTTTAACTTTCGCGATCTTTCGCCCGGTTGGTACTTAGTAACCGAAATGGCTGTTCCATATGAAACTCCTTTCATGGACCTTTAGATCGATGCCCATATCTGTTGTTATCAGTTGTTTTATATAGCTGTCTTGGTGTGCCTTTACACGAATTACAAACACAAAACTGCGAATGCATAATGCAAATCGTGCCCATCAGTGAAGAAAGTGCCCCATCCTGATCCCCGTCCTGGGTTTTCGACCCACCAGTCGGCGGAAATTCACCAGAGCGGAGCCACGGAGCATGCTGGCCATGCTGCGGCACCACCAAAAGCTTCGCCTCAAAAGCCGCCATCCAACAATGTCAACTGAAGGAAAACAGTGGCAAGTGAGCCACTTCTGAATGGAAACATATGGAAACAAACGTTGACTCAGCCCACTAAAAGGGCTACAACATCCATGCAAACGCTACGAGTACCTGGATGTCAGGTGCAACACCTTGAAATAGATCTCAGACTGAGTAACATCAGTGACCTGAGCCATCTGGAGATACCTCAGGACAAGGACGCTTCATGTGTCAAGCTCGGTCACACACACACACACACTCAGTCTCTACTTTGGTGAAAACCTTGCCCTTGTCCTGCAAATGTGAACACATACCGGTACACGTGCCATGTTCTTTTCTCAAACTGTCAATCATACACTAACTTTAGTACGCACGCATTCACTCTCATGCAGTGGACAATACTGGAGCATCAACCGGCATCGTCTCTTTGCGGGTTGGCCACACCAAGCAATGTTGGAGTTTTTTTGCTTATGTATATATTGTTTTTAGGAGAGAGAGAAAGAGAGAGACCTTGCTACATGCCCATTCACTGCAGCATATTGTTGAGGATGTCTCCCGTAGCTAGTTCGAGAGACTTTCTTACACCAACATGAGTGCCTGAATGGTCGATATAAGTTCAGCTGCCCCCAGTCATAAACTGACGCGAGTTGCTTGCAGCCAGCAGCAACGTGAAGAGAGCTTTGTAGAAGCTTCGTGCTGAAGTAAGTTTGAAGGCGCGAAGCAAGCGGACCTTGCAAGTCCAACCACGGAAACCGAAGCAGTTGAATGGTAGCGTCATGGCTTCTGGGCAAGTCAGGACAGTGTACAATAGGTGGCACGCTTATTAATGTCATGTGGAGCAAAGTGTGAAACTATCCTAATTGAGCCTCCCTGATCTGCTTGGCTGAGCTGCAAGATTCTTTGAGCTAATCTCTCCCGCCATCAGGACTGGCAGCGACGCAGTGCAGCTTGTCTTGCCAAACAAAACGCTCAGGCTATTACCACCTTGCCGCAATGCCATTGCAATTGTGACTTCTTTGTTAAATGCTTTGAAGCTGTACTGACTGGTTACCAGGTTCTTGTCTTGCTAGATTGACATGGTGAGACAGGCTGCTGTGGTGCGAGGCATACAAATCATCCAGCGCATACACAAGCTCTTCGCCACAAAAATGTTGTATAATGCGGTGTTATATATTACTTACACTCACACTTTCACCAATCGCCCTTGGATTTCCGTTGAAGCGGTTCGAGTCGTTCTTCCATCAATCCTAGAAGATTGATTTGCTTCAAAATTCAGTTCACTCACCAAGACAACCTCAAAAATGCTTGACTTTTTTGAGCTCTGCCAAGAGATACCCAAGGTTCTCAGGCTTTGTAGGAGATCCACTGGGACTGGAGCCTCACGGCGAACAAGTTTGGTTTCCATTGATGGAGGCGCTTTGTCCGGTGCCTCCAGTTGGAGTGGCACATGGCCAGATCGTGGATGGGGCGCTGCCAAACGCCACGCATGCAGGGCCTCGGAAGTGCTGGTTTTTCCAAACAGGAACAAACTCAAACTGGACAAACTCTACAACTCGCTCAATTGCAAACAAACTGCAAACGACAAATCCCATATCCAAGATGGTATTGC